GCGATTTCTCTACCTTGTTGAGAGAACCCCTTTAATTTTATCTACTTATGATCGGCGCTGTCGATAAAGGATTGCCCCGCCCGCCTATCGGTCGTCCAGAGATCATGATTGTCCCCAAGGTGCTTTTTTTCCAAGAGGCAACTAGAATTTCCTTGTTTTTTTCTTGAAGACTTTTCGCTTCCTATCCGAGAAGCTTCTTTGGTTCCCTCCTTCCATTCCCCACCATTGAGTCAGAACTGACGAAGCTGCTTGGATGAGCAGCGAAACGTCTTCAAAGGAAAAACAAAGAAAAAAAAAGCACCTTTGGGACCATCCCACTCATTAATGAAAATATTGGAGACCCCAAACTAATCTTTTTGCCTATCATAAGATGCTTTTTTCCCTTACTGGATGAGAAAGCGTTGATGAACACTCTTCCAACACAATGTCCATCCAAGTGTACAGACACTTAAGTTCATGAGAGAGTTTATTTCTAGGCTAGGAAGCATCGTCAGCGCACTGGGGAAGAATTATCTGCAAAAAAAAAAAAAAGCAACCAAGCTCAGATAACTCCAGGAACCGGAGCTTCAAAAGTTTTTTTTTTTAATGCAGATTTTTTTTAATCCTGCTATTTAAAAGCCCGAAAAGTAGAGACGAACCGACTAAACTCTGCAACTGCTTTTGTTCACATTTCTGTGCATCTCCTAAGAATGTAACAACTGTTTTATTCATACCTGTGATGAAATGAGCAGAGACGTGGACAAAAACACACGGCTATTGCGTTTCAGATAACAGGGGCAGGACCTCAGCTCTCTCCCTCTCTACTCGTCAGGCTTTTATCTTTCATCTTATTTGTTTCTCAGGCTCTCAAATGACTCAGGATGACATCCTTAATTTACAGAAAAGAAGTTTGGGGTTTAGGCTTAGAAACGGCCACTGGCTCATCTTGTTCGCTCGTCTCCTGCAAATGTTCAAGAAACGGGAAGTCTGCAAATCGTCTACAAATCGCCCTCGGTGGCCCAGGGTTATAATGGTTATCAGAATACAAGGAGGGATATTCAGATGCAAATGGACCCTAGAATCTTTTTATGCTTTGTATTTGTACTGTTTTTAATACGCTGTGCACCGCCCTGAGTCCTGCGGGAGAAGGGCGGTATATAAATTAAATTAATAATAATAATAATAATAATAATAATAATCTGAACAGTTCTCGGCTTCAGGGTCTACCGGCTTGGAGGAAAATCACAGAATTAAAGAATAAGAGAGTTGGAAGGGACCTCGGAGGTCTTCTAGTCCAGCCCCCTGCTCAAGCAGGAGACCCTGTACCGTTTCAGACAAGTGGCTGTCCAGAACTAAGTGAGGGGCATTGGTAGAAACGGAATGGGAAAAACTTGGCACGGTCAACTCGCCACGGCCAACTCATCACAGCCAACTTGCCACAAGACACAACTCGCCACGGCACAATTCAACGGTTCGGTTGAATTATTTAAAATCACTAAAACACGATTTTAATTTTTCTCACGCGCATTTCATTTTGCCCCTCCTTCGGCACCATTCCTTTAATGACTCTATTCCGCCATTTCTTCCATATTAGTGTAATTCTTGTCCCGCAGTGAGTTGTCCCACTGTGAGTTGGCCGTGGCGATTTGGCAATGGTAAGTGGGCCGTGATGAGTTGGCCATGGCGATTTGGCAATGGCACGTGGGCTGTGATGAGTTGGCCGTGGCGATTTGGCAATGGCTAGTGGGCCGTGATGAGTTGGCCGTGACGATTTGGCAATGGCTAGTGTGCCGTGATGAGTTGACCGTGACGATTTGGCAATGGCTAGTGGGCCGTGATGAGTTGACCGTGACGATTTGGCAATGGCAAGTGGGCC